GTGTGTGTGGGTGGTCAGAGGAGTATTTGTGAATAACATAAACATTTTAGGATTAAAGATTTAACCATAAAATGTAATTGCTATGTTAATAATTCATCACATTTTCAAGAGTGGAGGTTTTACATTTTGTGTCTCCTCACATTCCACACACTTCCTGTCCCTCCCATTCAAGCTAAATGTCAAACATTTTGGCCGGGCTCCCTCGTTTTAGCATTCCAGTTTGGTATTTCCCCCGGCTTTACCCTTATTTTTTCTTCAACTCATTTTTCACTTTCAAGGAAATTAACTTTGCTAGCTGTGTCATTTCATCTGGGCTGCCAAGACCTCAATGTCAAGCTTCAATTTTTTATAAAGTGCTAGTTGAATTTAGATTATACATTAATAAACTGTCAAGTGATTTTTATAGGTTATGCTTGGCTGGGTGTGTGTTAACATAAAGCCTGAGCAGGGAGCTTGTTAAGGATGTTGTTCCATGCCTGCCTCCCCCTCCACAGGACAGCATGGAGCTGGTGTTCAAGCAGTCCAAAGCTGTAGCTGTCACCTCCATGTCTTTCCCTCTCGGAGATGTCAACAATTTCGTGGTGGGAAGCGAGGACGGCTCTGTCTACATGTCGTGTCGTCATGGAAGGTGCGTTCATAAGCAACCGCTGGTCCCCGGCGTCCCTCCCGAGCACCGCCAGGAAACTGAGGCGGCTTGTTAGGCCCACCTAGAACCTAGTGTCAAATAAATATAGCCCACTCACTTCCCAGTGCAACACAAATCCAACACTTGATCTCCTGCTGTTTGAGGTTTCGCTCCTGCCCAGTCATCCTGTTTTTCTTTTCCGCTTGTCAGTTGTGTTTGTAAAGGTCGTTCAACATAAACAGGGCACACATGCAGGGGAAACAAATCATTCTTTCCCTGTCCGTTTCTTCTTTTTTTTTTCTTCTCTGTATGTTTCTCTGGGTGAGAGGGTTTGTTTACAGTCAGTCATCCCAGAGAGAATTAAAAGTTCATCCCACAATGTTCTCATTTAAGAGACCTGGGCTGCTCTCACAGTGCTCACAGCGGATGATTCCTCTGGTAGAGAAGCAAAGAAATGTGGCTTAAATCAGAGCTGCCAGTGAGTAGCGTGTTTCACTAAATGTCCTGCAGTATGCCCAGAGACCGCAGAGAGGGGATAGCTGCTAGGTTTTGCACAGCAGAAGCACCTCTGTAATTGGGGGAATAATTTTCCACCTCATTTACAATGGTATGATACTCTCATCGCAGTTAATAATGCATAAGCATCACTCACGCTGAGTATTTACCTCTCTACGTTAATTATCAGAGCCTCAGTTGGTTAACAGCTCTGCAACATGTGGTTGAGGGGTTGCAGGCACTTTTGCCACCCTGCCGGTAATCACATGATATAAGTAAATGATTAATGTGAATACATCCAGCAGTGGTCCATCTCCATGCCTGTTGCTTTCTTTCGTACTTAAGTAAGTAAGTAAATAATGTCCAAGTAATTTAAAAACACCAGTGATAAATGTTAATCCTATGCTCTGTTCCCATCATTAAACGTATAGAAATGTATATTCAAACATGATCACAACTGAAGGTCATTACTCCACACCTGCTGCTTTTGGAAATTACATTTGTCACGCTCAATTTAATCCGTCCCCCCCCCACTGTGTGTGCTCCACAGCAAAGCGGGCATCAGTGAGATGTTTGAGGGCCACCATGGGCCCATCACAGGGATCAACTGCCACACAGCTCCAGGGCCCCTGGACTTCTCCCACCTGTTCGTTACCTCCTCTTTTGACTGGACTGTCAAGCTGTGGAGCACCAAGGTAACAACCAAGAAAACCTTTATTTACGTGGTTGAAAAGACTCATCTGTGTTTAGGAAAAAGTTTCCTCACTCTGTGTTTGAGTGTTTTGTGTCTCTGTTGCCCTGTAGTTCAGGGTAATAACGTTTCTTTTAATGTTGATTCTGAAGTCACATAAAATGTTAGATTGAATTTGAAGCCAGACAACCAGAATAATCACAATACTGGACCCTGTACAGCCAAAAGACCTCATTTGTTGCCTCTAATTTAATGATAGTCTAAAGCCACGTAAAGCTCTCTGTGAGGCTGTAATGCTTGTTGTAAAGACTGTGAGATATTAGTATTGGCAGTGTGCACCCTCAGTGTTTGGGCAGTACATCACAGTATCACTATCGCACCTTAAATTGGAGGGAGAGGAGTAAGACAGAAATGAGGAGACAATTGCTGTCAGCCAATAAACATATCAAACACACACAGCTTGATTCATAGTACCTGCTGCTGTTTGCTGATCAGCTGATAGAGATTCATTGTCACACTTACTGCCTGCACTGTATTTAAACAGTTTGCATCTCCCACCTGCTAGAAGTTTACTCAGGACATTTTCATAAAGAGCAGGTCTAGACCGTACCGTACGTAAACTCTATAAATTAATTTAATTTTTTAAATTCTTTGTGCAGAACAACAAGCCACTATACTCATTTGAAGACAACTCGGATTACGTGTACGATGTCATGTGGTCTCCGACTCACCCCGCTGTGTTTGCTTGTGTGGACGGAGTGGGTCATCTCGACCTGTGGAACCTCAACAATGACACCGAGGTATTACATTCCTACTAACAACACACACGTCTCATCACATCTGTTTTAAAATCTGACATTTATCTACTTTTTTACTAGTGTAGAGGTTCCTGTTGTTCTAACTGGTATTTTAATGATGTTATTGTTTTAGGTTCCTACCGCCAGCATCACAGTAGAGGGTAACCCAGCCCTCAACAGGGTCAGATGGGCTCATTCTGGCAGAGAAATCGCTGTGGGAGACTCTGACGGACGAGTTTGTGTGTATGAAGTTGGAGAGGTGAGCAGGCGTGACTCAGCTTTTAACCATTACATTTTTTCCAATTTTTTTAAGCATAATCACTCAGTCATGTTGTTGCAGGGATGATTCAGCCTCTTACCTGCTTTAATTTGTACTGCAGTGATTAACTGAGATTTTTTGAAGAGTGTCTTGTGGATTTGACTCAAACTATTTTCTTATGTTTTGAGTAATATGCGTGTACGCCAATTAACTGTGTTTGAAGTTTTTGAGTCATGTCTCTGTTGTCCACCCCCCACCACCAGCAAATTGCGGTACCACGGAACGACGAGTGGACCCGTTTCGTTCGCACGCTGGCAGAGATCAACGAGAACAGAGATGATGCAGAGGAACTGGCAGCTCAGCGCCTGGCTGCCTGATCTACTCGCCATGGACGCGATGCTTAAGGGACCAGTGGTGTGCTTGTTGATATCAGTTTTGATGGAAGGAAAAGATTCAATGACAACATGAATGGAGGAAAAAGATGACGTTTTGATCAGAAAGAAATGCGGATATCTTTTGATTTCTTTACACCTTCTTATTTGGACTCTGCCTTCTCAGTTAGCTGGACCGTCACCAGTCTTCCTTGGACTAACACGAGCCGACAGGGCTATCAACCTCAGACACTAACACGAAGCCATATTCACAAACACAAACCAGTCGCCCTTTCTTCAACCGGTTGCCTTAAACTTTAATTTTACTCTTGATTGTAGAACCCTACCTGTCTTTATTTTGGGCGTTTAAGTGAACACAAGCCTTAATTATGAGTTAAGTTTTTGAACTGTAACAGGTGCTCCACTCCACATATTCATGAAAAACTCCACCAAAGTTGTAGTAAAGCAATCACATCTGTAAACACCCAGGAATGTAAACTTCTTATAACTGTAGCCATGTTGTCATCTCTGTCCTTTTGACGTAATAACCTAAATATTCACTTGTTTGTAAAATACTAAAATCCAAATGTCTTTCTACTTCTATATTCTATAATGCACCACTTTTCTCTTAATCAGTGCAGCTGGTTAGACCTGAGATAGTTGGAATATCCTCATTGCCTAAGAAGATGATCATGTATGCTGTAACTGCTCAGTGATTTCTCAGAGATCTGTAATGTATTGTTTTCCTGAAGAATCTCAAAGCCTGGTGTCAAAACTGAGAATGTACTTTTCACACAGTAGAAACAAACAGTTTGAATGATTTATTTCAATAAAATACAATAAATACATTTAAATTATTTCCCAAGTCCCTGATCATGATTTCAAAATGTATCACTTTTGAAAACATCTGTACATCCTCGTGTCTCTGAAACTGAACTGACACATGCACACCAAAGCTACCGCACACCAGAAAACGCAGTTACAATCATTCATAGTGCCATAATGTCCCTCTGTGGAGAAGTACAATATGTACAGTAAAGTTGTGCAAGCTATGCAAAGAAAACGCAATAAAGCCACCCTCATGCAGCATTCAAAGTAAGACAACCGCTCAAATGCATTTAATCGAAACGTGGTTCAATAAAACCATTTTGGAGGAAACGTGATGACTGGAGGAGCATGCAGCCCTCGCGGTCATGACGGGTGGCGGTTTATGAAGCCTGAGGTTCCGCTTTGGACTCTGCTGGTTTGATTGTCACCTCTCCAGAAGGCTTAAACTTGGGCAGGTGCAGACCAAACTTTCTCTCCACGCCAGCAAACGTTGCAGCAGCGAGATGGTAGCCGCCTACATGGTCTGCAGTCACAGAAGGAAGGTCCTGGATCGTGGGTTTGGGGGTGGGCACGGAGCCAGTAGGACGACTGAGGAGAGAGTCAGATTAGGACAGGTGACAGTGACAAGAGATACGTAACGTAAAATTTTCTTCAATCACTGAACTCAACCTGCCTTTATTTGGGACAGGCGCCTATATGGCACAAAACCCTGGGATGGGAAATACTATCAAATTGTTAATTTAAAGCAGTATGAATATTACTTGTATAAAAACATGCTATAGAATCAATTACGAATCATTCATTTGATTGAATTGTGGAGAATCTAAGAATCTACACTACATCTAAGCAGCAAGGGGGTGATCTTGAGGTTTATACATCCAAAGAAATCACAAAAAATCGGACCCTACGTCAAGTTGAGACCTGTGTTTATTTCTCAGAACGTGTACCTTGTAAAGAGGTCCTGTGTCTAATTGGGACTCTGCCTTTAACTGAAGTTTTACGGTACTTGTGCAAACGGGGTTAAGGTACTTACTGTCCTCCAAAGTCAACGTAGAGCCATCTCTGCAACAGTTCGTAGGTCACCAGGGTTACACCAAACTGCGGTGAAGATCTGAAGACGCGAGCTAATGGAAGATAGTTTGAAAATTACAATGTGGGATTTAATATTTCTGCGGTGCCTTTCTAGACAATTACAGCCACCACAGTGAGCCCCACTTCCCAGTCATGAAACCACTCATAGTTGTTTCTGTTCAGAGTGTGTATGTATGTGTGCATTTACCTCCTGTGCCCTTCCAAAATGCCTTGAAACCTTCCTCCTTGAGGATCTTTCTGAAGCAGTCGATGACTCCGCTGTATGTTGTCTGGCCTGCTCGGGCCGCCACCTGGAGCCTGGTCTTGATGACATCAGCAGGGGTCACCAGCGAAGCCGCCGGTACACCTTAGGAGACGTTTCACAACAGACATAATGAAGCGCTTTCACTATGCACAGATGGTGTCAAACTCCGACAAACCTGCTGCAGCATCACGCAGGGCTTGAAATAGGTATAGCTGTATAGTTTGATATCACAAAAGCTCTGTGTATATACAGCCAGGCCATTGTGGGATTCAATGGACGGAGAGAGCACAAACAGGGTGGAAACCAAAATGCTATTTCTTGGAGCAGAAAAATGCGACACATCCCTCAATTAAAAACCCAACGTGCTGCTGTTTGGATGTCCGCAGACCCTGAGCTTCCCAGATGTTTGTTACCTGCAATAGCTCCAGCAGTGAGCAGCTGCAGCGGCCCCAGGCTTCCGTCGTCATCTGCCATTTTCTTCTTGGTGTGGGCATAAACAGGGAAGTAGATGGCGGAGAAGGGGATGTCACGCAGGAAGCAAGCTTTGGCTCCCTAAAAGGAAAAACAAAAAAGATACATTTAAATGTGTATATATATACATCATGACCGCAGTCAGTCATGGGCAGAGGCAGTGGTTGAGGAGGTTTGTCTAGGGGATTAAGTGGAGCTGTCTTATTCAACCTACAGGGGGGCTTTAGTGTTGATGATGGAGCCAAAGAGCCCCAGGCTGCACTGGGCCTCCAGAGAGAAATCCATCACGCACACACACACACACCACAACACATAGAGCATGCATGGACCCTGTGTGTTGACTCTTCTGCCAAGAGGAAGTCATTTTTTTTTTACTTTTTTATTTTATTTAACAAGCCACACACTGTCTGCTACTCATTAAAATATGGAGTATGAACACATGACTCAAGCTGCAAGTAAACCCACAAGGATCTGGAAAGGAGCAGTAGCAAAGCATAATCCTTCACTAATTTGCTGTTGGTTGTTGGCCGCAGCTCCTTTCACATGTTTAACACAGTTATAGAAAATTGCAAACAGTCAGCAAAAGGACTGTTTGATCTTCAGGTTTCTGATGCTGATCTCCATTATGTCTGAGTACACATACAAATGTTTGTTCAAATACAGTAGTATTTCATCTGTGCATCATTACAGGGGAAAAAATCGATTCATATGTTAATATACAGTAGTGGAAAGTAAAGTACATTTACTCAAGTACTTCCTTTTACTTTACTCAACTCTTTTATTTCACTATGTAAATATTAGAGTAAATATTATATTTATTGTATTTATCAGTTACAGTGGTTAGTTATTTAGAAGATTTTGATTTTGTAAACAAATATGATTATTTAAAATATATGCTAAAAGTAATTCCACATGAATGAACCATTAATAACAATCCAATAAAAAATGTATAATTATATCACACACTCTAAAAGGGGCCACTCTGCAAAATGAGTACTTTTACTTTTATACATAATCTGATAATACATAGCATATTTGAAGGTATTATTTTGCATGGAGGATTTTAACTTGTAACTAAGTGCTGTTGAATAGCTGAAATGATTAGTTGATTAATCACTTAGTTGCAGATTGTTGTTCAACTATTTTTAAAAACTAATAATTGTTTAAGTAATTCCACCATTTGGTGTTTCTTTTGTCAAAGTAAACTGAATCTCTTTAGGTTTTGGACCATTGATCGGACAAAAAACATCTGAAGGCATCACTTTTCTTCCACTAAACTTCTTCCATTGTTAATACACTGAAGTTAACCATAGATAAACTTCCCATGTGGTTATTATTGTATCTCAGGAACATAAAAGCACCTTTCACTGCCCTTGTATGACAGTCAACAGAGGTTGATGCTGCAGACGTCACGGTGCTGCTGAGGTGCTGACCTACCTTGTAGAGGCCAAAGAAGCCCAGGTCTCTCACAACATTCAGGGCACTGACCCTGGGGCCTGTGGTGATCTCTCCAGCCACCTGCAGACGGATCTTAACGATCTCCAGAGGATTGGTGAAAATCACCTGGGAGCCTCCAGCCTGAAAGGATGCAACAGCAAAAAGAAACAGCAAGACAAGAGGTTTTATGCACATTCTGAGATTGTTACACATCTGAGGGGTGAACTGTGGGTGAAGATTTAATGATGTGTAAGCATTTCTCCCTAGTGCGAGTTTTCAAATTATCTCAGCAAACTTCAACACAAAAGACACTTTTTCCCCTCAATCTAGTAACAGAATGGCCTTGACAGGAGGAGGAAAAAGCAGGCATTGATAGAACAACAACTGGGGTCAGAATAGAGCAGACGTAGGGTGAGTAGAAGTCCCGGCTCATGGTTGAGAGGCTCTGACCCTGGCACCGGCCCTCTGCCCCCTCGCCTCCCCTGAGGCACCTCCTGTGGCAGGGTGAGCGGCCCAGCCTGGCCTCGCTCCTGCACACTTCCCCAATTCACCCCCATTCCCAGGGGAGAGCGCTGAATCACCCGGTCTGGGCAAGCAATGCCCTAAAGGCACAGCACCCTCTGACTCAGGCACATTTATCACCCTCCCCAAATCTAATCAGGCCCCAGGATGGCTGCTGGTGACATTCAGGGCAGGGGTCTTATCTGTAAACATCCGAGCAAAGGTCTAAAAAAAGCTCAGGCACATTCAGTCATTTTCAAAGCGGAGGGGGAATATCCGCTGCTCTGAAGATTGATGCATTCGTCCCGTCTCTTTTATCTTCTTCAGTTCTCTCCCCTGATGAGAGCGATAATTTAACAGGCCGTCAGATTAACCAAACTTTCAACTTTCAGAAAATAACACCAGGACGTCGTCTAATTCATAGAAATGAATACAAATCTCTATAAATGGGACGTATCCTCATCAGTTAACATGGTGTATATTGGAAACATCCTCGTTGTCCTGCGAGGGGACCTGCACTGTGACCACGCCTCGGGTATGTGCCGCGTTGTCAAACTCAATCACGCAGAGCTTCATCCAGGACCCTCCAGGGCCTCTTCCTACAATTACACCCTGACAGGGGTCACGACCCTGCAGACCCCGCTCCTCTGTGAGCAACCTGCGGGCTCTGCTGCATGGTCTGCCTGTTTCAGAGTGAAGGAATTACATCTTTAATCTGGCGTCACTCTCAAAAGATGTTATATTGTTGCAATTTGGCCAGAATTTTTAAAAAAAACTGTCCAATTTAGAGGATTCAGGGACTTTTTTACTCAGAGAACTGATGTAGGACGCCAAAAGATTAGCTCACACAAGAAGTTTAATAATTCTAATCTCTCACACAAACTAAATAAATGACTTATTACTGGTGAATGTTTTAACTGAGGGGCACATTTTTTTATTGTTCTGGGGATCAAAATGAGTAATTCTTAACCTACAGAACTCAAACTAAAGAGGGATCAATCATGTAGTCATGAATCATCTGGTGCTTTAATGTGTTAGTTTGTGTCCTGTATTATTCTGCGTGTATTTCTTGTTAAATTCTGTGTTTTTAATGTACATACTTACTGTTGACTTTGTGTTTTGTACCATCTCTTGTGTATTTGTGGTGTTTTATGTATTTTAAAGGCCCAACTAGGGAGGGGAATAGCAAATTAGCTTAGGCTATAAATGTGATGCGTGGCATTTGTTCATGCTACACACACTTGTTCCTATATAAATAAAGAATTAGAACAAACAAAAAGTAGT